CCCCAGGTGTGAAGAAGTCTGGAGAATCAGGGAACGCGTCTGCACTGTTCGGTGCAACTTCTCTTATCTATAGATTAGTCAGTCAGGACATGACAGGGCCATTAGGATTATCGTTATACATCAAAATGAAGCTTCCTGTCTTGCCACTCTCACACATTCCATTTATCAAGTCATAGGTGATATGTGCATAAGGCTAGGAGGCCGGCCAGCGGATCCTCCTTTTAATGGATCATAAAATACTCAAAGAGCATTAAGCTGCTTTTCCACTAATGAGAATTTAATGATCTGTTAAGTAGCATGAAATCTGTCAGTGAGACAATACAAGCAATTCATCAAACACTTGTTGAGCTCGCGGGGATACGACTGCTCCCCCCTGTAGTCCCCTCTTCTGTTTTATGATATGTTTTACACAGACAGTTGCTAATAGTTGAGATGTGACAACACATTCGCTTGTCAAACTGCGAGCGACAGCTGATTGACAAATTACGGGCTAGCAGCTGTGTGAGCGTCCACCACTCCCCTCCCACAACTCACTGCTATCAGCAACTTGAGTCGGACACATCTCCTGAAAGGTGCTGAAATCTAGTTCCAAGAACTTGGAGAGTATAAACAACAACAGCAGCAGCAGCATTCGGGACAACGGGCACAAGTTCATGTTTGGGTCATTAAGTTACCCCGTAGTGGGAAGTCCTATTTGTGACAGTGCAGTCAGGCAGGCAGCTTTGCATTTCATTGCAGCAGCTCTCACATTTCACCACAGCACAACCTTGCACTGCTGTCAGTCGGGGGGTTTTTGACATACTGCAAATTGTTCAAGCTGAGTTTCTCCTCGACAGCACTTGGAGCGAGACTTGTTTCTAAGTTTGGAGAATAAACTATTAGTGACGGCGAAGGAATGGAAAAGAAGCTCGACTTCAGTTCGTTCCCCCACTCACATCAAATGCAGCGCGCCTTTAACAGTACAGTCAAATGTGGGTGTAGAGTTTTTCTGGCTGACACGGCTGCTTTGGCTCAATGCTTGTTTAGCAGTCGGAGCCAAGCGTATGCACGTGCGGCTGTGTTTAAGTGCATGCGTGTCTTAGCTTGTGTAACCGTGTGTGAGCCCCTATGTGTGCCCGCATGACCTGATTGTGAGTCTGCAGTGTATATCCTCGCTCAAAGTGAGTGAGTGAGGGCTGTGAGTTTTTTTTTTTTTTTTTTTTTCGGGCTGTTGTGCAGCGTGGCCTCATTACCCAGGTGTTTACCCCTAACCACAGGAAGCCCTTGTCAGTGACGACTGTCTGCCGGCAAACATCGCCTGAGGGAAAGAAAGACAGGGAGGTAGAGAGAGGAAGGAGGAGAGAGGTGGAGAAGTCATAGGAAGATTATCTATCTATCTATCTATCTATCTATCTATCTATCTATCTATCTATCTATCTGTCTGTCTGTCTGTCTATCTATCTATCTATCTATCTATCTATCTATCTATCTATCTATCTATCTATCTGTCTGTCTGTCTGTCTGTCTGTCTGTCTGTCTGTCTGTCTGTCTGTCTGTCTGTCTGTCTGTAGGGCTCATGTGTCGACAAACCCAACACATGAGCAGGCAACAGACCTGCAACCTATCCACAACCTATCTACAACCATGCTTGTCGGCCCCCCGTGTGTTCCTTTTTTTCCCTGAATGTGTGTGTTTATGTCTGTGTCTGTGTGGTTTTGCCAGTCAAACCTCGGCTGGCAGGTCACCGGGTTCCTCCACTCCTTCACCAGAGTCGGGAGGGAGGAAGAGAGCGAGAGAGCGAGAGAGAGAGAGAGAGAGAGAGAGAGGGAGAGGAGACATACAAGCTGTTGACAGGGATTTATGAGCTGATAGTGTCAGACTGCAAGCACAACAACAGTCTCCCTGTCTCTGCCTGTCTGCTCACGGAGAGAGAGGCAGCGACTGACAGAAAGAATGGAGGGGGTGGTGGAGAGAAAGTGAGGCAGCAAAAAATGAGAATGAAAAACCAGAACAACAGAGTGAAAAATGGAAAAGAGAGAAGAGAGAGAGAGAGAGAGAGAGAGAGAGAGAGAGAGGAGAAAAAGGCAGGATGGGGATGTGATTTAATTTGTTTTTTTTTCTCTCCTCACTCTTGTCAGAATGTGTCTTCTTCTTCACGGCCCTCGTTATCTCCTCCTTTGTACGAGTTGACTTGTGTTGACTGCTTTTGTTTTTTTTGCTTGTTTAGACTCATGTGAGTAAGAAACCATGTGTTTTCAGTATAAACCGAAGGCTGTTGTTCGTCTCGCGTGACCGTCCCGGTGGTGACTGCACAGGGACTGTAGTTGTGCTGAACAATAACATTTCCTTCACTTTGTTATTGTGTCACATCAATAGCTCAGAAGAAGCGGATGATGGCATATGATAATGAGCAAAAAAAAAACAACACATAAAGACTTTATGATCAGTTCTAGCGCATTAGACAAATGCTCTTTGTAGTCGCGTGTGTGAGTGTTCAGATATGTCATGGTGAGTCATGACTGTTGGATGACACACCCTGATATAGTTGGACTGTCTGACTGTCTGACATATGAGAGATTCTGTCTGCGGGGTAATTCTGTCTAATTGCTGTTCTAAGCATAAATCCATTATATCTGTCACTATTTAAGTTTGACGACTTCAGCCTTATATCCTGTTTTCTTCTCTTCCTCTTTTCAGCTGAAGCTGCAGTAGTTACCATGCTGCTGGAGCACATGGCAGGTACACTTGTCCTCAGATGTATTCATACCCTCCCATTATAGAAGGAAAAAAACAGCTGTCACTGAAATAAATTGGAATTGACTAAAGTAATAATAAATGAAAATGTAATGAAAATCATGACATTGCTTTTGAATTGTGGTTCAACAGAAATATTTTTTAAAAAAACAAACAAACAATAAAAAAACACACAAGCAAACAAGCAATATGCTACCTGTAAACTAATATTTTGTTTAATCACTGCCATCCAGTGGTTTCTGTAACTCAGTCAGTCTTCTGCACCTGTTGACAGGTATTCTGATTTTTGTCCACTGCTCATCAAAGTGCTCTAATTTGTCCGGGACAGTTTTTTTTTTTTTTTTAATTATTCTTTCCAACCACAATTCAAAAGCAATGTCTTATTTCACTAAATTATTATTTAACAAATTTTTATTTATTATTACTTTTTTCAGTTTCTAGTTATTTGACTGATGATTGTGAATTTTGCCTTTTCTTTAATGGAAGGGTATGAATACATTTGAGGACTGTAATTCCTCCATTATCAGTTCCATGTAAGTAGCTGATGTAAGGCAAGCCTGTAACTACATCAAAGCTACTTAATATTTGCATTAATTACACTTTACATTAGACTTTGCGTGGGACACAAACATGTTAACGATTGTTGTCAGTTACTTGTACATTCGAAAGTTTAAAAATATACTCGAGCATATATAGATTTCCGGCAAGCCATTGATTTCCAATCAGATATTGTATAAAAGTGCCCGAAATACCTGTTAAATGTTGTGATTGTCATAATAACAGTGATCCAGATATGAAGTCTGCCAGACTGACATGTTGGGAGAAAGACAGTCTGACAGTGCACAGCACACATACCCCCTGGGAATAATGCAGACAACTAGTGATTTATATGTCAGTCCTTTTTTTTTAATGACATAGTATTAAAGAGTGGTGATTTATGAGGCTCTTTTCATTTCACATCGACATTCAGAGTTGTTTCAGGGTATACCTTACACTTTCCAGTATGCTGAGTAATGATCCCACCATGAGTGTCTCAGAATTCCCAACATCCTTCTTTTTTTTTCTTTTAGATTTCCTGTCTATAGAAAATAGGCCACGACCTTTTTGTGTAGCACAAATGCAGTGTAAGAAAATGTATGCCAATCATTATTCATCCAGTGACGGCCCAATCCAAAATATGTCATAGCTACATTTGTCCACAGGGGGAAAAAAACATTAATTTGGCAGTAAAAGCTATTAAATTATGAGAAGCCTATATAGGGAACTATTCTGGAGTTGCGTCTTTAGCATTTGTAGGGGTATATCTGAACCCAAATCAATGACCTAAAGCTAACCAAGTAGTTTTGGTTCCTGAACTTAACCAAGTAGTTTAGCAGCAAGCAAACAGCGATTGAAAACAAGTAAATATAATGTGCTAAATCAATGTTCCCATGCAAGAGTCAAGCTCCGGCCTCCTGGCTTGATAATCCTGCTGTCACCCCACCAGCCTGCTAACAAGGAGTTTGTTGCTGTTTTTATGTGCAAAGGCAAAGAAACTTGTGAGTCACGTGATGTGGAGGCATGCCAATAGGACAGAAAAGGCCAAATATATGTAGGCATCTCACAATTTTAGAGCCTTTATTGTGAAAAAAAACAGATTTTGTGCTGTGACCCAATGTAGCTACTATACATTTCTGCAGTGAAAACAACACCAGGGAGCCTGAAACAAGATACCAGAAGATGCCGATGTTCCATAAGCAAAGTTGGCCCTGTAATTAATGCTTTTATTCTGCCAGCAGCAGAACAGGGTGCTAAGGATGGCAGTTAGGAGTTGGTTTTTATGGTCAGTTAGTGGTAACAGATAAGTGCATGTAAGGGAGGCACAAGCAGGGGAATTTAGCAAGAGCTTGTGTTGTGCAGTTGCAGCCTGTGCTTAATGCTGGCGTAAAGGCAGGCTCGATTCCTTCAGAGCAAAATCTCCAAAAAAATACGGCAGCTACATATGGACACATTTTATGTTGTATACCTGTGCTATATTGCGAACAAGTGTAGCTCTACTAGAACCATACAACACATCTGTGGTGATCTGCATCTGTCACACAAGCGCTGACCACATCATTGCATCACAGGCACCCTCACATCAGGAGTAAAAAAATAAAAAATATTCCAGTAAAAGGAAAAACAAACATGTTCCTGCTGGTTTTGTCATTTGATCAAAATGCCACTGAACAAAAATGAAATACATAATGTTAGCATTCAAGTCTGCAATTTGTGTGCTCTTTCTGCAGTATATGTCTGTATGGAGCAGAGCTACAAAGCATCCTGCCTGCAAATGGAAGAACACAGATGAAGAACAGCTTGTTGGAGACAAAATAAGAAGAAAGAAGGACAAAGACGAAACATGTAGGTGTTTTTGAATATCTGCATCAGTTAAATTATGCATATTTCTCACACATAAGGTGACTTCTAATTGTTTCTCATTCCAAGTATTTGACTTTGGGTATATTGGCAGCAGCTGGCGAGTCTGTCTAGAGTCTAAATTAGAAGCCGAGGTTGTGCATTCACATCAATCAGGCTCACGGTTGTGACATTTCACATTGGACTGTAAAGAACAATAAATATGCACGGATATTATGTTTTATGTGTTGTGTAGTAAAACAAAAATAATGATGACCGCTCTTAGTAAAAACTTTTAATGTTCTTTTTGGACAATAATATGTTTGTGAATGCTTCTGTAATGCCGACATGTTTACTCTAATTGTATGATACAGGAACACCAGGGTGTATTCTACTGGATAGTAAAAAAGCTTTCTTTTGTAGCAGTAAAAAACAGTCGGTTGTTTGTCGTCCACATTTTGTTCCACAGTACATACATGTAGCTTTCATCAACTGTATGTGCATTTGAGAAAACGTGGCTGGAACAATGTATCTGGTGCAAGTACAAGTCTGCTACGATAACATATTCATGTATGTGCATTGTGTATAGTGATCACAATTTCGTCACAGGGGAACAAAAACGACATTAAGGGCATGTACTCATACAATATGCAAAACTCTATGGAGAAATATACCCCGACTGGAGTGCTCTCCTGACAATATATGTGAAGAGTTCCACTTTTATCATCACAACATAGATTATTAATGAATATTGTATTGTTCTGTGAAAAATCTAGGTAATATAATGTTGAATAAAGGATTCTAATGGTTGCTCAACAGACTCGTGAAAACATGGAACTACACTTGTCATGTGACACAATAAAAGCAGTGTGGGAATTGTGAAGTGTATCGAGTGTGTCTTGCTCTGCAGCATCAAGAGGAGAGAGTTACTTTCTCTTCTAGACCTGCGTGTTAAAGCTCTTTAAATAGCTTAGAGAGGAGCAGCTTTCTGCAATATGCTGTGATAATGCTGCTGGTGGCTTCAGATGAAATGCGTCTTACTTCTGGCTACCAGGTCTGCGTTTGGTCTGAGGTGTGTAAATGATCCCTTAAGCCTCTTTTTTACAATATACTTGTGTTTTGCTTCTTTATCTTCACATGTCCAGTCTGACCTGTAATTACAGAACCCACCTGAGTTGCACTGTACTTACCATATAGTAAGTTGTCTGCAATTATGTGGTTTCCTTTTATTGACTTCACAGTCCACAGAGAGCACTTTTTGTAATCAAACAATTTTGCAGTATCTAATTAACTGTATTTGCACTTAATAGTTAATTTGGTTACCTGGAAAAGACTTTGCTAATTGGTTTAAGAGAGCATGAGCACTATTTCATAATCATGGATTCACTAAAAACCCAAAACGTCAAGGTGACACAAGAGTGAAAGAACCTAAAGTCACAATAGAGAACCACAGATGTCTGCCCCAATTTTCCCGTCGTTCCTTCCATTCTTTGTTTTTTTTTTTTTTCTCACTGTTGACATTAGATCAGACTTAACTTTTCCTGTTTTATGTCAGTTAGAATTACCAAAATTATATCTATTTGCTAAATGCCAGAATAATAAGAGAGGTAATTTTTAAGATACATTTTTTTTTCTTTTTTTCAAATTCGGAGTTTTCCTTCCTTTTCTTTGTTTTTTGTCGGATTTGCTTTTAACTTTTTTGCTTTGGTTCAACTTTTTTGGTTTTCTTTCCCCAGGTTTTTCCCATTGTTTTGTTGATTTTTGGCCCTTTCTTTTTGCCGGACTTGTTTGACTTGGTTCAGGTTTTTTGCTGTCTTTGTTCCCCCCGCTTTTTCTTTCTGCTTGCGATTTTTGTTTTGTGTTGGGCTCTGGGCTTCGTTGTGTTTGTTGTCCTGCATTGACTTTGTTGTTCTTTTGGGGGTTTGTTTCTGGTTTTTGTGTATTTTTAGGGTCATTTTCTCTTTGGCTTTCCTTTTTTTTCTGATGTTTTGAGTTGTTGGTTGATTTTTTGCGCTTTTTGTTCTTTCTTTCTCTATTTTGTTCTTTGCTTCTGTTGCTCTTTCTTTTGTGCAGTTCCTCAGTCTGTTCTTGCGCCCCCCATCCTTCCCAGTTGGTGTTGTGTTCTCCGTCTTTCACGGTTGGGCTTTTTTTCTCCGGCTTTCACGGTTGTCGTTTTTTCTTCCCATTTTAATTTTGGTTTTTTTGGCCCACCGTTTGTGTTTTCGTTTCTTCAGGTCTTTGTCCGTGTGTGTATTTGTTAAGTTTTTTGTGTCTTTGTTTTTTTGCTTTTTGTGTTCTGTCTTTTTTCTGTTTGTTTTTGCTTCCTGTCTTTTTCGTTTCTGGGTTTGTTTTCCTGTGGTTTCTGTCGCTGTCTGGTTTGCTTGTGGATCATGTTCCTCTGTTCTTTGGTTTTTGTTCTTGTTTTGATGGTCTTTTTTTTTTGTTCTGGGGTTGATGTGTGGGTTTCAGACCCCGTCTCTTTCTTTCTGGGTATGATGGCTGGTCTTTTTCCTGGTGTTTATACTTGTTTGTCATTGTTTTAGTGTTTGTACTTGTCTCTTTTTGTTTTCTGGGATTTGTATGGAAGGTTGAGGGATCTTTGTGTTGTTCCCCAGGTTTCTTCCTGCTTGTTTGGGTGCTTTCTTTTGTTTTTGCTTTTTTTCCTTATTTGTTTCGGTTTTTTGTGTTTTTGTCTTAGGATGCATCGTGTTTGAGTTGTGTGTTGTCATTGATCCTCTTTAACTCTTCTGTTGTCATTGTATCTTTCTCTGGGCTTTCCCTCATCGTTTGGGGTTTTCGTCATCTTTTTGTGTGTCAGTATTTTTCTTTTATGTGAGTATTTGACTTTTATGTAAGTTATATATTTTTCTGTCATTTTTCTGTTTTTTTGTCATTATTTTTGTATTTCTAACTGATTTTGGTCATGCTAAGTTTCGTCTGGTTTGATGTGTTTGGTTTGGTTTAATGTGTTACATTTCTTTTAATAAAGTGTGTGTAAACTTCTAGTTTCAACTGCAAGTCTGGAGCAAAGTGGTGGCTAACTGACCAGCTATTCTGTCCCTTGAGCACCTCTGCTGGCATGGCTAATTAACAGCTTTAAATGCTTGGGCCAGCCATATACAATTTGTCAGGGAAGAAAACACTCAGAAAAGAACGTTTGTTTATATAAGAAAGCACATTGTAGCCAAGCAAATGAAGGTAAGAAGAGTTCGTCGTGTCACACATCAGTTTTGAGCCCCCCCCTATCTGCCTCCCTCCATCTTTGTCTGTGGTTACTACATGCTAAGCTCAGCTACAGTGGTCAGACAGGCCACTCCGATATTTTCCGTGAGCAGTTTATCGCACTTCCTTTCCCTCCACTAGGCCCCTCGGTCGGTCTGTAGACAGGAAAATCAAAAACCCTGGGACGTATCATTACAGTGTAAATGGTATATCGCCCTGCACAACATGCTGCTGATGTATAAACCTAAAAGTCTTCCAAGTAGCACAGAACAGAAAAAGGGAAATGGAAAGAGTTTTCCTTTAACAGCTTTCACAAGTGATATAAATGACAGTCACACATTAGATTGATTGAAAATTGAACTCAAAATGGTCCCATACATTCTGAATGATATGGAACTGAATAGTAAGCAAACAAATGATTTCACTGGAATATCAATCCATGCTGTTTCTTTAGAAATTAATTCAGTGGGGATGTTTTTAAATATAGTCATGAAAAAATCATTTGTTACTCATTTGAACTCCGTGGCGTTGCATGGTATGGATCTAAATGATCAAAACGATTTCATTATGTTCTTGGGCAGTTTGTCATACTTTCTGCGTTACATTCATTCTGCCAGAGAAAGAGATTCTCAAAAGCAACTATGAAGCAGAATCCAGCACTGCCATCGCCTCAATCCACCATCTACCTTATTTCAGCTGCTATCTGGGAAATGAATTGTGCTTGAAACATAGACACAGTTGGAAAAAATAGATTCTAAAACAATAAGAGCATCAGTTTTTATGGATGTCCATAAAACAGACATGTTCAATAGCATACTAATGTGAACATATAGATTGTTATTCAGAAGATCTCCTCCTTTCCAAGTTCCTGTCTTATTAACGATATAGAACATGTGAGGAACAATGTGCAGCTGAACTAAAGTAGTAAATATATGCTGGACATACACTTAATAATGACTTGGAGTGGGGGAAAACTATAAGTCATAGAATAGTTTGCAAAGGCCATGTGTTTCCTATAACTGTTTCTTCTGAAACTTCTCATATGGATATAAGAACCAACTCAGTTTTTGAACTTTTGAACTCTTGGTGGAGCGTCATCATCATGCTCTTAAAAGTCCAATTCACCCATTGTTTTTTTGTTTTAACTCCAGCAACAGACCCTTTGTTGTGCAAAACAATGTCAGACTAATTTCAAAAAGGCTGAAAGTTTAAGACAGGTACACCTTGCCCATTAGACAGCGCATGCAAAATAAAGCTTTCTGCTACAGTTCTTTAATTTTCTGCAGGAAACCATTTGAGTAATGACATCAATTTCAGCCCTCTACAAATAACTTGCATCAAAATGCATATTTTTCTTTTGCTGTTTACACCACCTCCCCCTCCTCTGCTGTGCAAAATGCTTATTTGCAGGGTTACATAAAAACCACCGAGCAAAAAACTGATGTCACATGAACTTCTTTTGAACTAGCTCGACTAGCGCTCAGACACACAGAAGAGCGGAGGATGAGAAATGACGGATTATATGAGACAATTAAGGAGGAATTATTGCCATCATAGCTGCATAGCGCTGTATGACACCTGCTATCGCTAATTAATTGGAGTTTTAAAGCAATTACTTCGTCGAATGCCACTGTATACATGTCACCTTCCACTTGTTAGCTGCCAGGAGTATTTTATTTTCCCTCTTATGCACCTCAGCCAGGATGTGTACAGGCCTGCCAGCCGTTAACCCCACAGAGGAAGCGGGCAGGAAATGAGATCAGCCTTAAACAGAGGTAACGCCTGAGCCTGAACCACTGACACCAGACCAATAACTGTCACTCACTGCACCTGATGCGAAGATACGGAAAACGCAGCAAACAGCAGGATGGTCAGAATAGAACAGACACCATCTGATGCAGCATTTGAGTGAGGAGCATGTAACAGGGAATCACGATGGAAATGGATCACCAAAAAAAGATAAACAGATGAAGGTAGAAAAGACAGCGAAAACAAATTACATACAGCGCAATGCAAAGGATGAAGGTAGAAAACCAACCACAGCTCTGGAAAGAAAGAAAAAAAAAAACTGTCACTGAGTTAAAAATACCTGTGAAAGGGTGGAGGTTGAGTCTATATGTGTCTAGAACTGTTTGTGGTATTTTCCTTTGTGCTGCAATAGAATAGAATAGAACGGAATAGAAACGATCTCAACCAAAGTTTTGCAATAAAGACCAGACTAGAATAAAGCAGCGTATGATGTGCAGAAGAAAGGATGTTCAGTACAGCATATGCTGTGAGAGGAGATTAAAGACAATGCAAGAACAGCATCATCCAAACTATCTATCAGACAAAAATCTTTTGGAACCAAAAAAAAGAGAGAAAAAAATCCAATAGATAAAAATACCAGCAGGGGTTGGGCCTAATTCAGTGGCTGTGCATGTGAGTGTTACTCTGCCCTGCACACATTCTCTTTACAATGATGAAAGCCACAGTTAGTAACTTCACTGAAGAAACCAGGCCTGACAGCAGCGTGCACACATGTGTGGTTGTGTGTGTGTGTGTGTGAACGCTGTGCATATGTATACGTGCATCTCAGCATGCACACAAGCAGCAAGATTTTTTATTTTTTTTTTTGCTTTCTCTAAGATTTTTTTTAAAAGAAAACACGTTTTATTTTTT